TGGCTTATATCTTATGTTTCACCTTTTAAATCCAGTGTAGTAAACAGCCACAGTTAAAAATAATGAATTTTAAATTAGTATTTATTAACAATTTCTGTGCTGCATCCTCAGTTAATGAACAGCTCTTATCATTTCTAGAAAGTGAACATCCCACCCTCCCACCAGTAATTAATATAGAAGTTGTCATTGATGGTAGTATAGAAATAAGTTGTTTCTAGAGTGTGTGTGTTTTAAGATGCCCTTTGTGGGCTGATACTGGTTTTGTGAATGTTCATGCCGTCTATAAGAATTTCAGTAATGACAGCATTATGTTCTTTCTTGATAGCAAAATTGGAGAAGAACAGTCAGCAGAAGACGCAGAAGACGGGCCTCCAGAACTCCTGGTATATATTGGCTTTCTTATGCAAGATGAAATGTCATATGCAGATTGGACCACTTGTCATTGATCCATGAATTTGGAAAATGAGTCAGAACTTCAAATGCTAGCTCTTGGAGATGATTTCAAATTGGAGGTCTTGAAGGTTATTCTGACTGAGTTTTGACGTTTATTGAAAATAGCGAATAGAGCACAGTAGGTTTTTATGAATATTTCACTAAGAACCATTTGGGCTCCTGGAAAATAGTGTAATTTCTCACTGATTCCCACTTGTAGTATTTCTGAGGGTTTTTTTGGGGGGGCGGTGCTAGGTATTGATATTCAGTTAGCAATACTTAACATTTTCTGACAGCACAGGAATATTTTAGTGACCTGATTTTTAAGTTCCCTGCCCCGAAAATGAAAGCATTCTCGATCTTGTTGGTGCCAAGTGTCTACCATCTCCCTCCTGCTCCTAATTGAATCACTCGGCATCTCCTCGGCCCTTTGAAGGTTTCTGTGGTGTGTCTGTCCTGTCAGTCCTCATCCTTCCTGTTTCTGAGTTCTTCAGTGTATGCTTCAGGTCCCCTTCCTGTTGAGCATGGTCAGACTTAGCAGTGGTTCTTCCTCACTCAGAATCCACATTCGTCTCCACCAGTTATTTGGCAGATACTCATTCCTCTGTAACGTATTTTTAGTTCTTAGGCCAGTACTAATTTTTGGTACACTTGGGCTTTGCCCACCACGTTTTAAAAGGTAAAGAAAGCCCTTGGAGGTGAGCCGTACATACAGGAGATGCTCACTAAAGTCCATGTGGCACAGACCTCCTAGATCCCCTAACTCCTTGTCCTGTGTGTTACCACGCCCAACAGCAGTGGCCAGAAAGTGACACAAGGGTGTGATGACACGCAGACACGCCAGCATGTTTTGTGCACTGCTGATGAAAGAAGAGCATTTCTCAATAAACTATCCTAGACAGATGACGGCACCTCAATGATTTATGATTTTTTGAGTGACTTAATCTTAAAAGTCTGTCTGTGATGCATGGCCTCGTAGTTTTTAAAGTCTTTTCTAGCTGAGGTGTTGGTATCAGCTGTTTTCATCCAGCTATTTGTACTTATTTTACTTTGGTAAAAACTTCGAGATATAACTCAAATCCCATACAGTTCACCTATTTAAAGGATATAATTCAATGGTTTTTAGTCTGTTCACAGAATTGGCCATCACCACGAGTCAGTTTTAGAACATTTCCTTCCCCTTAAAAAGGAACTCTACTCTTTATCACCTCCCAGTCTGCTCCTTTCCTCAGCTCCTGGCAACCAGTGATCTACTTTGTGTCTCTAGATTTGCCTATTCTAGATAGTTCATAGAAATGTAATGGTGGTCTTTTGTGACTGATTTTTGTACTTGTCATGTTTCCAAGGTTTCCAGCTATTTTTGGGTACCCTGTATATTATGGTTCTTTAACAATTTTATGGTCCTTGAGGAGATCCACTAGGATTTTGCTCCTTTCACCAGAGAGCCTGAAATCAAGGGACACTTAACTGTGGTAAACTGGATGCTAACTATAATTTTAGTATAACAATATCTTGATTTGAGGACTCCTTATATATTCCAAGCCAGTGGTCTTAACATATTTTCTCTTATGTCCCCCTTAACACAATTCTAAAAAGCCGTTTTTCTCCTATGATTTTTCAACTAAAAAAATTATTAGGTAAAATAGTTACCTTGCATGTAACCTAATTGTCAGCCTGAGTCCAATCAGACTTTTGTCAGGAAGTGTGACTTCTCAGTCCAAAACCGTATATTCATGTTGTCCCTGTGAGAATGGTTTCTTCTGATTCTTAATTCTGAGGTAAGGAAAGTCCAGTGCCTTCCCATGAGGCTGTGTCTTGTAGGGAAGGAGTCTCTGCCCCCTTCATCATTTCATAGAAAGCCCTCTGCTTAGCCTTTGTGGGGCTTTGCTTTTGGAGCCCGGGTTGGTTTGGCTTTTTGAATCCCCACCTTGAGTGATGCACCTTGGAGAGATGGAGGGTGGCTGGGAGGTGTGCCTTTCTTTTAGCAAGAGGGAGAAGGGAGAACAGGCCGAGGCTACAGAAGAACCAGAAGACTCCTCGGGTGGGCCAGTTTTGAGAGTCTGTAAGAGAACTTTAAGGAAATTTACTGCCTTAACTATTTGTACCGAACTACATATATTTGATAATGAAGGTAAATTAATGTTAAATGTATTAGGTATGGAAATGGCATTGTGGTTGTATAGGAAAATGTCCTTACTTTTGGGTGATGTGGGGTGAATACTTGGGCGGGGGGGCTTAGTTAGGTATGTCTATGTAAGAAAATGCACCTGTGAACATACTTGTTCAGGGGAATGTAGGCAAAGGGTATCCAGACATTGACTGTACTGTTCTTTCACGTTTTTTGAGGGTTTGGAAATTTGCAAAATAAGCGAGGGGTAGATTACTAAGCCTGTATAAGTCTGTAAAACCCCCCCCCCCTTTTAAACCTCAGTTGCAAGACTGACGCTCTAAAAACTTCTAACATAAGATATGAAACAAATGCTTTTTAAAATTCTTATTAACAGTTTATTCATGGAGGACACACCGCCAAGATATCAGATTTTAGTTGGAACCCCAATGAGCCTTGGGTCATCTGCTCGGTGTCTGAGGATAACATCATGCAGATATGGCAAATGGTGAGCTAAAGTATTTATTTTTCCTGAGTAAAAAGAAGAAACAAACTATTTGAAATGTTTGTTATAGATTGTTGCTTTTCTAAATTTGGTGTACCGTGTATAATCTTAAAAGACATTTCTCCATTTTAACAAGTCTTTAGTTCAGTATGCACCTCTCAGGTCAGGAGAAATCTGTGTCTACACACAGATGGGGACACAGCCTCTGTTCTGCTTTGCGTGACTGTCGTCCGCTTCATCAGCTGGGGTCTTGGCGTCACTGCTGTAGGTCCAGTGTCTGCTGCGTCACGGGCATGAAGCAAAGTGCCACGAGTTCTCGGATGCTGAGTACTAAGAACCTGATGTTTCTGAGGTGGTGTTAACCCTCTCATTAACTGCAGGGCCATTGCTTCATCTCAGGGATGCTTGAAATGCTTTTGGAAAACACTTTTTACAATACAGAGTAGCAGTGCGTGGGCAGCTCGGTGTGTAGGTGGGCTCCCCTGCCAAATAAGAACACTGGCCCTGGGTTTTCCTCATTCAAGACTGGGGGGAAAACTAAGTAAATTACTCTCAAAATGTCCCAACACAGAAACACACTGACCAGTGAATCCTAAAATCTAGATGGACTTAAATGGTGTTTTTAGGAAATTTTGTAAAAACCATGGGGAGTTTTACCTGTGCCTTTATTTGGTTGTCCTCTCCAGGCTGAAAATATTTACAATGATGAAGAGTCAGATGTCACAACATCGGAACTGGAGGGGCAAGGATCTTAAAACCCAAAGTACAAGAAATGTTTCTATTGAATGTATGTAATGCTACACGAATGCTTGGTTTATCAAGCGCCAAAAAGGCATTGTATAGTAGGAAATGTTAAGTGGGATGGCATAGGGCGTTCTTTACCTTCTGATTCTAGCACTTTCAAGTGAGCTATTGCGTACTGTATCATATTGTAGCTTTTAGGAAAGAAAGGAATGTTAAGAGAGAACATCACCGTTGTTTTAAAATACAAGTAGCAGGGTACTGCCTTTGATTCAACTATTTTAAGTCCTTGTTTTCTCAAACTAAGTGCTTGCTGTTCCCAAATATGCAAGAATAACTTTTACACTTTTTCCCTCCAACATTTGTTGATTGGCTTTGCAGAAATAAAGTTTTAAAATAAATTCGGTTTTATTCTTTTAGAACCCGGGTAGGAGAGTATGAATGTGTTGTCCATGTGCGTCCCTTGACAAAGCTGGTACGTGTGTATGTGGAAACTGACTTTCCAGGGTACATGAGAGTGTCCTGATCCAAAGA